AGTAGCACAACTGTTTTAAACATTTTAATATTACTTGAGTACCAAATCCGCATATTAGAATGATTTCTGAAAGATCATGTGACACGAATGGAGGAATGACAGCTGAAAATTCAGCATTGCCTTCAAACAGGAATAAATTAAATTTTGAAATTAGTTATTTTAAATTGATCATATGCAAGCTTGGTGAGCATGAGAGACTTCTTTAAAAAAAAAAAAGAAGATAACCCTATAGTTATATAAATAAATGCTATAAGTCCATTTCAGTGCAAATACTTAAATATACTGAAAATCACCAGGTATGTCACTGCTGTATTGTCCAGCCCTACCATAGATACAAAAACCATACACAAACATAACAATTGTGTATGCCAGCATGTTTGTTCTTAACAACAGATCAGCACCAATGTACTCATCTAATGTTAGCTGATCTCAAAGAGCAATGGTGGAAGCGTCCTGAGGCAAGGTTAAGGAAGAACACAATAACAAAATTCAATCATTCAGTCAAAAACAATACTACCCTACTGTAAAGACTTTCAAAGGCACAAGCTGCACTGTCATACCATCAAGATCAAACACTTAGATTCCAATGAATCAGATAATAAAACAAGCATTCAAAAGCACACAGCTGAGCAGCTTTTGATGAAACCCGACTTCATTAGACACCTCACACATTAATCACCTATATAATTATCTTCATGAGCGTGAATTCAAACTATGTGCACTATGAGGCAGTGTAATGTTGTGTAAGCTACTGTATGCATGGTTTGCATTCCTCCTGTTTTGCCGATGGCACTTATCCAAGTGCCTAAAAATGATCCATAAGTTCCTGCTGGGTCTGTTGTTAGACTTTGAATAAGGAGTGTAAAGATCAGTCTCACAGTGTTGATTTAGCAGGGTGTGGAGAAGACGCGGGTATTATTACTATCCACTATAGACGTACAAACAGTGTCTGATTCCAGATCAGCTTGAATGGTTTTGTGAGTAAACCAATGAGAGAGGATTGTAAAGATTTTAAAATGTCACAACGGACTGAAACTAGAGATTACAAAAAGCTTGGGAAATGGCCATAAAATGTTTCCACTTTGAAAATAAAAGTTAATAAATTAAATAAAATAAAAAAACAGACAATGAAATGTTTGTCTTTTAATTTCGGTGTGTATATGACCGTTTTTACAACATATCACTGAAACATTTCACACGATCACTCTGATGATTTTCATACATTCAAAGCAGATTATTGTGACAGATTATGGGTCTGATTAAGGGATGCGTTGCGCATATATCCCCACATAAACAGAGAGACCACTTTATGATCGCAATCTCATATGCTCTCACAAACAACATATGTGTCACTAACGTAATTACAGCTGATTGCTGGGTAAGAGCTACACGTCACACATGGTAAATCATAGTATTACTCAATATTACATGAAATTAAAGACAACCACATGCTTTGTTTGTATGTCCTTGACTCATCAAATAGTCCAAAAGGTGGTCATCTATCAAAGTACAAAAGGTTAAATCGGCAGTATGGGATATAGGTCACTTTTTTGAATTATGTTACATTAAGTCCATAATAACACAAAATCTGAAATATTCTCTTTTTAAATTTCTATTATAACCTACTATATTTCTTCATAAAGGAACTGAATGAAGTGTTCACTTAAATCATGAGATTCGTCTTATACAGTAGCTTGAACAAAGCAAAATCTTTCCAAAGAACCTCCTGGTTGGGAATCACTGTTACAGGTCATCCAATATCCTACATGTGTCCCAACACTCTTGCTGACACACGTGACAAGCCCCTGTCCATCCTAAGTAACACATACAGATTTACATGCCTGGTCAGCTGGTTATATGATTCAGTGCGTAACTGCTGTAGTTTCCATCTTGAGCTCTCGTACACACGCAAACACTCACCTGGTCTGCCCTCCTCTCTTTCAGATCTCATGACTCCCGCAGTGCCGGCTCCGGCAGGCTCCACTTTCAGCGCCGGTGCTTTTTCTCATAGCAAGAAAACTCAACTAAACCTCCCGCACACACACACGTACACTGTTCACTCCTACCACAGTCCGCGCGCTCCTCCCTGACAGGTTACTAGGGAGGGGTTCCCGAGTGAGTGTAAACAAGTTTGAGCCGCCTTCCTCTGTGAGCCCGTATACCAGTTCTGGGAGTTTCTCTAGGGCGTTTTCTGAAGTTCCCCACCCCCTCTACACTCTTCCTATACTCACACACACACACACACACACACACACTCCTCTCGGCCTAAAAGAGAGTTCAAAAAGGGAATGACACTGCTTTTCCCAGCCTTGTATGAACAGGCTCATAGGACAGGGGGAGGAGACAAATAGCTTTTCTGATCAGGTGAGAGGGCAGGTGAGTCTCTCTTCAGCGGCCCTGCAGCTCCATCTAACGGTGGAAACAAGACACAGATAGACTGCTCTCTGTTCTCTAATGTTAAGGAACATTTCACCCAAAAAATGTTATTCTGTCATAATTTACTAGTTCAAACCAGTATGAATTTTATATTTACATGGAACACACAAAGAGAAGATTAGCAGCATGTATGCTGTGAATGGGGACTAAAGCTGTCGGGCACCAAAAATCATTAGCTAATAAACAAGTTATGCTTTTTTTGTCATTTTTGGAGCGATTCACTTTATTACAATTAACACAGATCAAACTGACAGTAAGAACTACGAAATAAAATAAAATAAACCATATGGCCTACTTTTATGATGCTCACTTTTTTAACATAAAAAAGAATCCAGGAAATGTCCTGGATTAGGAGTTTTATTCAAAATTAGCTGAAAATTCAAATAAATTAAAATAAAATACTTTTTTTATCCTTTTATGGTGCTTTTTAGTCATTTACAGAGCTGTTCACTTTTATTGTATAGGAAAGAGCATGCAGGACATTCTGCTTCAGTTCTCCTTTCATGAAAAAAAAAGAAGCGAGATTTGAAAAGAATTTGGGACAACATGAGGGAGACTAAGGGATGGCAGAATTTTCCTTTTTGTTAAAATATCTCTTTAAGACTTGCCAACAATCAGTGTGATATCACACCTTATAATTTGCTGCTGCAACATCAGTGTTTATATCCGGACTATAAACTTTTATCCCTGTGTTATTATTGGATGTTTGCAACACAGAAATAGCAATACCGTGTAGCTGAAAACACTGTTTGTGAAGCTGACACCCCACCCCGTTTCGGCAATCCATGATATTTTTCCATCCACATCCCATAATTCCTTGCAGCAGACTTCATGCAGGGATCTGTGGGACGTATTGTCAGATAAAGGGCTGGATGAGTGTCCCCTGTTGCATAGAGCTAATGGAGTCACCGGCAGATAGAGGCCCACTCTCTGTCACAGTGCACAGGCTTCAACCTACTACTGAGTGGCAGTCTCACACACAGCCGGGCAAGAGGACTCAAGGACTCTTAGGGTCTTAACACTGACTCATCTCTCCTTTTATCACTCTCTCTTAAAGACCAGAATGCTGGTGCTGAGTTCAGAGTGCCTGCTGGGGAAAGAATTACCAGTTTGTACACAAACAACTCAATGTGATAATATAAAGTATATGCTGTTTGTGTAATGAATAAGTGACTGCCTTAATATATAACACAGGATGTGCCCAAGTGTGTTGCGTGTTGATTAAATGTACGTGTCCATCAGGGAAAGCTCAACCACTGAGTCTTTCTCTCAAGTTGTTGTGTTGCACATAAGTGAGCTTGTATGAGCACACGAGGCTGAAAGTAATGAATTTAGTACATTAAAGGAGCTCTAATATGGCTGCCTGCTTCCTTTTATTTCTCAACTGCATAGATACAGTTGCCTGGCAGACCGAGCGTTATCTTTCAAAACAATTTAAGGCTCGGCTGGGAGTAATGAAGTACTGACAGCAAGCACAACATCAATAATGCTTTTCACACAGGGTGAAACGAGCAACACAAGAGAAAAGAATAGAAACAGAAAAAAAGAAAAAATTCCGAAGAGAAAGAAAGAATACGATAGAATGGAACAGCTCTTACCAAAAACCTGTGACAGTACCATGGTATAGCAATGGCATTAGAAAATACCATGATACTTTGATATATACCATGGCATTGTTGGTACTGTATATGGCCAGATTTAATGCCAATATAAACACAATACTGTGGAAATTAAACATACATGAAAACAGCTAAGCAGCAGGCAGCGTTATCAGCCAGTTAACTATTTATTAATATAAACAGAAATGAACAGCAAAACAAAATAGAAAAAAAGAACAGAAATGAACAAAACTGAAATAGCAGAACAAACAGAATAAAAGAGAATAAAAGAAGCTTCCATAAAAGAATAGAATAAAATAAAACAGAATAGACTGTACATACTAATACAAATTAGTATGTATATTACTAGTATAAAGCACATACAAACCCATGCTGCGGGTGCTTTCAATACATTAGCATTCAGTGTTCGCCATCATCAGCCTGAGTGAAGTCGAAAATTATTCCTGCTACTGGTTAAAATGAAGACCCTCTATCATCCTAAGAGGGTAGTTTGGCTTCTTTGTGATGCTGGCTTTGATAAAGACATAAAGATTATGATTTAGGAGGACAGCACTCGGAGGAAAGGCAATAGAGAGTAACGGGCGTCATTATGTGTGGAAAATGGGATGTCTAGAATAAGACTTAGAGATTCTTTTCAATTTCCAGTTTAATCAATACACTTCATAATGACGCCTCCCCACAGCGAGTGACATTATACGAATCAGACAAAGCTTTTTTGTTTTCTTACAAGATGACTCTCTCGCAATTTGTAGAAGTGCGTTTCTTTAGTCGCATACGCTTTGCTCCTCACAAACACATGAGCAGGTAGAGGGTGAAAATCCACAGGACTGGTTTTGTTTTATTGCCATTCAGCACTGTGATGAATTACCCGAGCTCCGAATGTTCACAGCCTGTGGAAAATTACTACTACGCAATATTGTGCTTATGCATATTTGGACATCTTACCCTTGTCAAGTGAAGAATCTGGAGTGCCGAAGTCCATCAAGCTCGACATGCCTGTCTGGAAAGTGAGATCAGAAACCAGTGCCTTCTGCCGGTGGTGGACCGCAGGCTCTGCAAGACAGAAAAACAAAAGCTTTGAGCTTGTTCAGGTTCGAGCTAACCGAGAGGTTTGACATTTTCGCCTTCGTAAGTGGCCGAGGGCGGCAAATTGCAGGCCTCCTACAAGAAAAGCGTGCGGAGTGTGTCGGAGCGACTCCGGCTCGTGAGTCACAGAGCATCTCGCAGCTATTACTGCTCATCTGTAATTAACTCTGAAACAGTGACACGCACCACGCAAAAGCTCCACATCCACTGAATGGCTTTTAAAGACAAATAATCATCCTCCGTCCGCGGCCCACGCCGTAGCCGTAATCAATGTGCATTGAAAGTGACAGGTAGCAATTTCATGTACAGTGCAACGGACAACACACCGAATCACGATTTTCCCTCGGATCTGAAAAGGAAGAGGAAAAAAAGCTAACAATGTTCGTTTGATGAGGACGAGAGAGTGCTGAGATTTACAACCACCATCAATCATCTTCCTCCGCGCGGTAACATCGTAAGGTTCTCAGAAGCCACAAGGGATTTCTGTGTACCTGTGTGGAAGGAACAAGGGCGGCGTACCGATCTTTCAAGAGACTATATCATGAGCATCATAAATAAATGGCTCCTTTGTCATATCACACACCTTCCACCACCTGACGCCGACATGGAGAGTGCCGTTATGTCACTTCCGTGAAGAAATTGTGTGTCAATTACCACAGGCTTTGACAGGGGATATGAAATGGTGCTTGTCATTTTCCACATCATTATGTCAGACAGCGTTCATTCTTCGCCATTCCCTTTAACAGATACCATCTCAGCACTGCCTGTTCTTTCTTCCCCTCCCTCTCGTGACTCAGACTTCACAGCCGGCTGCACACCTGAACTGATGCTGCTAATTGAAGTGTCTTCAAGTGCCCTTTTCTCTGTGTCTCTGTATCTGCTCCTGTTACCTGCTTACACTTACAAAGCCCCTAATGTGACTTATTCTGTTCTCAGACATGTTACACTGCAAATTCCTTTTTTTCCCCCATCCTTTCTAAATGCTGGTCCTCATCCTACAGTGCACTTTACTAGCTAGAGCAGGGGAATTCAAACTTTTTCAGCCCAAGGACTCCCTGTGTATAAAGAGACCCCCTATTACATATTGTATAAAACTTGGATTCTAGTCGGAGCCGATAGGCAAGTGCTCCGACATGTAGCGCCGCTGTGCTTCGGGCAACCCGAGTTCGAGTCCCGGATCGTGGAGCTTTCCCGATCAGCAGCAACATCACATTTGATTAACTCCAATTTTGTAATAATTATTATTAATATTATTGAAAAAATGTATTATTATTAAAAAAATTATTATTGTAAAAATTCTAATGTTTTTGGAGGAAAACAATCGGTTAAATCAAGGTTTATTATTATTAATAATAACAATAATAATAATCTTTAATTTAACCCCATTTTTTTTTTTTTGACAAAAAATTGTTTGGGATCAAACAAAAATTGGCGGACCCCTTACAGTAATGCCATGGACCCCCTAGGGTTTGCAGACCGACTGTTGAGATATAGGAGCACGGTCATAGAAAAGTATCAGGAATTAGAAACTATATATAGTTTTTAAAAATATTTCATCAGTTAGAAAATATTCATTGTGGTTACACTCTCTAAAAATGACTTTTTAAAAATAGACTGGAATGACATGGAACAACTAGAAAAGTTTGTTTAAAAAGCGTGGGATCCCTGAAGCCAAGAGGGGTCCATTTTCAGTCCGGCTGAGTCAAAAATATCCCTATTGTGTCATGGCATCATTTTCAGTAGTGGGTCAATGGTGATGAATGACTGAATTCACATTTCTGCTTTTTATGTCTGCCCAGTTCTACAGATGCTTCTTGGTTACAAGGTATTTTCGTTATGGACCGAAAATATTCTGTATCTAAGAGTGCTCTTCACAAATCTGTGCTCTGCTGGGTTACTAATGGCATGACAAAGCCAGCCATATGAAGCATTTAATGCATATTGAGGACATTGAAATAGCCAGTCATTTACTTGTGCAAGGCATTTGTGCATACGTTTTTGTATATATTAAGACGAAGTTGTAAAGTGCAGGACATTATTCAAGGCTTAATCTTTTGGTGCACTGAGGCAGTTTAATAAATGGAGAAAATGAACAATCATTACCATAATAGCTACCTGTTTAAGTAGAAAGTAAAGACAAAACTGGGCAATGGTGCACTAGGTTTACTGACCCCTAACCTAATGTTCTCAGTATAATATATATCTGTATTGACTGAAGCACCTTATGGAACTGCGATCTGGTTAAATTACACTGTGTTTGACCAACTTGAGTAACATCACAGATCTTCCTTTCTGTCTCACTGAAAGTTTAAGAAATTACTCATAACAATGAAAAGGTCCCAGGATATAGAAGCTGTCAAACCTTTCTTTAAGAAAACAACAACAACAAAAACAACAACAACAACAACAACAACCCTATGGTTTGTATAGCAGGTTCCACTGACACTCAAATATATTTCTCTTTCGCATTAACCTTTGAGCACATCCTTTGGCAGAAGTGAAAACCATCCATACAAATGTGTTTAATGGACCTTAGACGCCATATTTCACTTGATGTGAATGAAAACTGAGGCTGTGCGGGATACAAGTACAGTCAAATCAATAGGTTGTACTGTCTTTCGATTTTAGGTCATGTCTAATTTTTACAAGCCATGTCTAGTAAAAAAAAAAAAAAAAAAAAACTTAACTAAAAACTATATAAAAAGTTAGATATAAAAACTTACTAAAAATAAAAATAAATGCAAGAATATAAATATTAAAAGATAAATAAAAATAAACATTTTTACAAAGACTATTTACAGTGTTTCAATGTATACAAGAATAAGACTCTCATTAATATTACCGCATCCACCCTTAAAGTCTTTCCTATTTCCATCTTCCCTTAGATTCAACTGGCTAAACCCATCAGGACTAACTCATTTGAGAGATTTTTAATGGAGCTATTGAAGGCTCTTTGCACGCAACCCTGTTGAGATAGCTCATTTCTGAAATATTTCTGTCGCAAAGAGCAAATAAAAGGACTATTTAGAAAAAGGCTTTATAGGGTTCATTTTTTCCTTTTACACCACCAAGTGCCATCCTCATGTTGCCTTTGGACGATTTAGAGAGTCATTATCATTTAACTTTCACACACTCCAGACATTTCTGAATATCAAGACTGCTTACCCGAGCTATAATTCTGTTTGAAAACAGGATCATTAGGCTAAAAACAATTTTTCTGCCCTTTCTTATCACATTAGTGCCACAAAGGCAGCCAAACATAACAAACATATCAACTAAAGTGAAGTAATACAGTTTGGAGTGGTCAGACGACCCTGTGCAGCACTACGCTGGCCTCCTGCGTACTAGATATAAAGCTTTTATCAAGAGGTCAAAGGTTATGAAAATAATGAAGAGATGCAATAAGAGTTTGCTGACACAAATAGCTGTGCAGGAGTGAATACATGAACTTAAAGACTGTTTTGGAGGAAAATATGGCTGGAGGGCTTTGCTATGTGTTTGCTAGGTTGTTCTGATTGGTTACTAGGCAGTAGCAAGAGTTGTATGGGTGGTTGCTTACTGACCCAAGTCAAAAGAGCCCACAACTCTCTATCCCTACTGAAAAAAGCATCTTAAACCAGTCTAAGCTGTTTTTTCAGCTAGTTTCCCACTTAAACCAGTTAAATACATGCTTGGCCCTGCAGAAAGACCATATTAAGCAAAAAAACAACAACATCTTAAACCAGTCTAAGCTGTTTTTTCTGGTTTAAGCCTGATCAGGCTGGTCTGTTGGCTGGTTTTAGATGGGTTCAGGGCACTTTTTAGTTAGTTGCCCATATAAACCAAGTAAATACATGATTGGCCATGCTGAAAAACCAGCTTACGATGGTTTAAGCATCTAAGTCTAAGCTGGTTTTCTGATCTTAGCCTAATCAGGCTGGTCTGTTGGCTTGTTTCACTCAAGATTTTGGGCACTTTTCAGCTAGATGCCCAGCAAAACCAGTTAAATACCTGCTTGGCCAGGCGGAGAAACCATTTTAGGCTGGTTTCAGCATTTATTTTTTATCAGGAATGATATTCTGGTTCCTAGCTATGGCTCGAGTCCCTCCCTCAATATTAATCTGCAACTAAAACACAATTATAGACAAATGCACAGTCTGCTGGGAGCGTTGCAATGAATACTGCTGACAAATAGCCTGGCCCCTGGCAGCTCACCTCTGTCTCTCTGGCGACAGCCAAAACCCACACATACACATTACAAAGAGGTCGATTTTTCCTAGGTGGGCAAGAGGTCAACCTGGCCAGACTTGGAGGCAGCATATTGTCAATCAGTGTGTCTCTAGGCGCCCCTGCACTTCCTTATTAATGCAATACCTGTCAACACAACATATCACTCAAGATATCTTGACCAGTGACATGCTGACCTGTCTTAAAATACCTCTGTGGAGTCTTGCGTCTGATGATGCCACAGTCTGTTTTTGGTTGTGCACCATTGCACCAATTGTGAGCAAGAAGATGGATTAATTGTATTGCCAAGGTATTTGGATAAAACTAAAGCTGTAATTATCCCTTTATTTAGTTGTTTGCTGATGCTAAACTCCCTCTGTATTCTATTACGGACGTGACAGTCTTTGCTCCTCTGTTAAAGCCGCTAGTTAATGAGAAAACACACTGCATTATTAATCACCACTAAATAGAAGGAAGAGGAAAAAAAAGGACCATGAGAAAAGTCATAATAAAATAATAAATATAAGAATAATACTTGCATAAGTGGGTCTACATGCTTTATTATGTAAGAAATGTATAGATGCTCAAATGGAAATACTGCACCTATTTAAGTCTATGCATTCCGCCTTTAAAAACAAACAAAACGTCAGTCCAATTTAAAAATCTTCTGCTTTATTTTGTAGCACAATATGCTGGATATGCAAATACTGTACATTGGTTGATGGCTTAAAACCCAGATGAACATTTATTGAAAGCCAAAA